TATGTATAAAAGTTTAACCCCACCTGTAACACTTCTATAGTTACTGCCGGTTCCAAGCCTGGGTAAAGGAGGAGGGTTGGATATGAGGTTAGAAAATCGACCCCGTAAAAGACGATTTTGCTAAAAGAACGCCGATCAGCCTAAACAAATTGAACTGTTTAAACTCTGCCCTCACAGTTGAAGGAAGAATTATGCCGCCTCATGATGAAAGCCAAGGTCCTTCGGAAGCCATGAGACCTATGCCCCTCCTAACAACTAGAGCAACAGTCTGTATAGGTACATGGAACGTCCGAACAATGTAGAAGACCAGTCAAATAGCAATGGAAATGAGGAGATACGAATTGGCAGTAGTCGCAATCAGCGAAATACATGGGACCCAAGCTAGACAGCAAAGGACGGATACGGGAGAGATGCTTCTGTACTCTGGTTACGAGGAGGAAAATGCTCCACACACTCACGGAGTTGCTCTAATGCTGCACAGTGAAGCACGAAATGCACTTGTAGGATGGGAATCTCACAGATCCAGACTTATCAAAGCACCGTTCAAAACAAAGAAGAAGAGGACCACAATGAATGTTATCCAATGTTATGCACCCACCAATGATAGCAACGACGACATTAAAGACCAGTTCCAAGAGAGGTTGCAATCAATCCTAGCTAAGTGCTAAAGATGGGATCTAAACGTTAAAGTCGGAGTGGACAACACAGGATATAAAGATATCATGGGACCACACGGACCGGGAGAGATTCACAAATATATGTGCATTCAACAAATCGGTTATAGGCGGCACAATATTTCCACACAAACACATACACAAAGCTACATGGATCTCACTGGACCACAACACAGAGAACCAGATAGATCATATATGTATCAACGAAAAATTCCGTAGGGCAGTGGAAGATGTGAGAATCAAGAGAGGAGCTGACATAGCTTCAGATCATCACCTGGTTGTGGTTAAGATGAAACTGTAGCTAAATAAACACTGGACAATTGATGAAAACAGCATTACATAGGTTCAATATAGCCTCCATTGGAGATACTAAAAAACGCAACGAATTCAAGATAACTCTCAACAACAGGTTCCGAGTTTTACAGGATCTACTGAAAGAACAAGAAACAACGATGGACGATAACTAGGATGAGATCAAAGGAGCATTAACTTCGACGTGTTAGGAGGTCCCGTGCCGCAAAAAAACATCAACAAAAAGAATGGATCTCTATGGAAACCATACACAAGATTCAAGAAAGGAAGAGCATTATGACAGCGATTAACAACAGTCGAACACGAGCAGAGAGAATCAAGGCACAAGCAGGGAAATATAGTAAATCGAAGAGACTAGTCAAGTACAAAGAAACAAAGACAGTCACAGTGTTTCAAGAACAGAAAAGATAGGTAGAATACTTCGAGTAACTGCTAAGTTGACCAGCCCCATTGAATACACCGGAGATCGAAGCAGCGTAAACAAACCTACCTATGGATGGCACTCCACCAACGATTGAAGAACTCAAGATGGCCATCACACAAATCAAGGATGGGAAAGCAGCAGGACCTGACAATATACCAGCTGAAGCACTGAAGTCAGACATTGAAGTAACTGCAAACATAATTCACCTTTTATTCAAGAAGATTTGGGAGGAAGAACTAGTGCTGACAGACTGGAAATAAGGACACCTCATCAAGATACCAAAGAAAGGAAATCTTGTAGTATCGGTTTATATGTTAAGCCCATATACTCTATTTTAGCTACTGGCCAATCCATTATGAGTCATATTTTGATCTTGTTAATTATTCACTTTTTAACCTACATTTTTATATGAGCGTATATGTGTGCACACTTCGTATCTCATTCATCATATGTCTGTCATTCATTTTTGTCTGATTATAAATATTGAGTAATGCTTGCTTAAAATGAATTGGCTTCCCCGCCATCTCCAATGTATGTCATATATGCTTCGCTCGCTAACATGTGCTCACAGCTTTCTGGCCTACGTTATTTGTCAGTAAAATGTAGTCGCCGCTTCCATTTGCCTTCTGATTCTACGCACCGTTAAGATTTGTATTATAACGGTATTTGATGTGAACTATTAACGAAGCGCGGCACTACAATCTGAGCAAATGTGAGAATTACAGATGCATCACACTGTTGTCAGTACCAGGAAAGATTTTCAATGCAGTGTTGCTAAACCAGATGAAGGACGTAGTAGACGCTTGACTTCGGGCTGGATTCCGTAAGGATCTGTTGTGCTTAGACCAAACTGAGAAACTACAGATCATAGTCAAACAATCAATTTAATGGAATCCATCACTCTATAACAACTTCATTGACTATGAAAAGTCGTTCGACAGCGTAGATAGGAGAATGTTATTGAACCATCTTCAACACTATAGTGTGAGTCCCCGAAAAGAAAATCAACCTTTATACAGAAGTGACACGAATGGAGGACAGCTGACGGACCTAATCGAAGTAAATACCGGAGTCACACAAGATTTCTCACGCTCCCATTTCTCTTTCTTCTAGTGGTTGGCTGGATTATGAAGACCTCGACATCTGAAGGGATGCACGGATACAATGGACATCTCAGAATCAATTAGACGATTTGGGCTTCACAGACGATCTAGCTCTCCTATCCCATATACACATACAAATACAGACGAAGACAACTAACGCAGCAGCAGCCTCTGCATCAATAGGCCTCAACATACACAAAGGAATAAGCAAGATCTTCAAATACAACACGGACAACAATCTGAATACACTTGATGGAGACACTCTGGAAGTGTTGAAAACATACACATACCTGAGAAGCATCATTGACGAACAAAGAGAATCTAATGCAGACGTAAAGGTGAGGATTGGCAAAGTAAGGGCCGCATTCCCACAATTGAAGAACATGTGGAACTCAAAACACCTGTCAACTGATTTCAAAATGAGATTCTTCAATACGAACGTCAAGAAAGTTCTACTGTAGGGAGCTGAGAAGTGGAGAACTATTACAACCATCTTCAAGAAGTTACAAGCATTTATAAACAGTTTACACAAAATGCTCAACATTCACTGGCCGAATACCATCAGCAACAGCGTTTTATGGGAGAGGACAAACCAGCTTCCAGCTGATGAGGAAATTGGGAAAAGATGTTGGAAGCTGATCGGACATACATTATGGAAATCACTAAACTGCATCACGAGACAGGCCCTAACTTGGAGTCCGGTAGGGATGCGGAAATGAGGAAGGCCAAAGAATACATAACGCCGGGAAATAGAAGCAGATATTAAAAAGAATGAATGTTGACTGGAAAGGATTGCCCAGGACAGAGTCAGATAGAGAACGATAGTGAGCGGTCTATGCTCTTCCACGAGGAGTGACAGGTGTATGTAAGTAAGTAAGAAAAGGATGCCATCTCCTTCCCTGCATCTATCTATCACTTCTTAAGTAGTGGTATCCAGATAATTCTGGAGTAATGTTATAGTCATGGACTAAGCAAGTTAGCATCTCAGTTACAATGGGTGGCTTCAAGTTGTCCACTGGTGCTCCTAGTTCGTAGAATTTATTTCTTGTAGTACGAGCGTTGGCATATAAAACTCCTAGAGAGACCGACCTATCCACACAGGCCTTGGTATAATTCTCTCCTCTGACCTGACTATTCGAAAACCCACTGAACGGTCATTCTCCCCACCGTTTTGTCGACGGGTTTCTTGCTCAACCATTGCTTTCCTCCCTTTTATTCTATCCTCGAGAGACATATCAGGTCTTACTCGAACGTTGGTATTGTCGTGACTACGAGCTCTACCTAACAGAAGATCACGTTGCTTCTATGACCCTAGGATTACCTTAAGGAGTCAATATGGTCAGAGTTCAACACTGTCGTCGGCCCTCTTACCTATTCTAACCAATTTTTTGATCTGAAATCCTTTACAGCTATTTGGTAAGATCCTACGGATATATTCTCCGAGCTTCTCTAAATCATGGTCGTGTCTAATTTTTGAACTGGGATCGTTTGACTCAGGAAAATTGCTCACAATAGTATTCGATGAGATTAAATTCTTCCCAGTAACGGCATGGTGGAGTTCTGTCTTACTATCAGCATTTGGTAATGTATTGTGTGACTCAGAATACGAGTTTAACAGTGACTTTTAGCTTTTTTTCACTTCGTTTTCTCCGTACTGCCGTTCATTTTCATCACTCAGGGCAGCTACACCAGGTTTATTTGAAAAGGTGACCGTTTTATTTGGGTCTTCAATTTACAATGGAGATGAATGACTACCCATGTCAATACCAAGTCGAGCTTCACTCGTTAGTTTTAACGGAGATTTCACTTTTCCGCCAGTCCCAGTTGGGTGTTTACCGCGTCCTGTAACAGCACGTACAACACTGACACATTCTTTACTGTTACCAGGGCAACCATCATCTTTCTTCTTGCCAAAGCTGGTAGGCTCATAGCCTCCTGGATTAGCGAAGTCTCATTTTCTACAGAAAAACATGCAAAGTAAATACAGGTTAGGCTTCGAGCGTCTTTCGTATGCGGTGGGACCTAAACGGACACACATCTTATGGAACCACTTTTTACACCCATTACATCGCACTCCTTACTCCACGGGGAATAAACAGTTCTTCTATCCACATTTATTAGTACTGCCAACCATTGTAATCAGATTAGGGTTTGGAACATTATATGAAGTATCAGAGTTAATGAAAAACATAGTACCACAAGACAAAGTTTAGCGAAATTTCAAACCTTAGCTGAAATACTTCGAGTTTAAGTAGACCAAGAATGCTTTTTGGTGCAACAAGTACACAAAAGCAACGATAATCGCAAGTACGAAATCACTGCACTTTCTGAAATCATCCAATTTTTACTTATTCGCCACCACAGTTTTAGATATTAGGTAATGTAAGTTTGGTAGGTCTATGTTTTACAGTAATCATGTTCTGCATGTGAAGCATAGTTGTTTGAAATTACGTCGTGCCGCGGTCATTACATAGTTCTGTTGGTGCGATGGCGGGTGACTTTCGAGCTGAGGCCAAAGAACTGGATCAATGGATCGATCAACTGTATGAATGTAATCAGCTAACGGAAGCACAAGTTAAGTCCCTTTGTGAAAAAGTATGGGGAATTATTTAGTCATCGGTTGTTGTAGGCTAAGGATATCCTCACAAAGGAGTCAAATGTTCAAAATGTACGAAGCCCAGTCACTGTCTGTGGTGATGTACATGGTCAGTTTCATGATATGATGGAACTATTTCGCATTGGAGGAAAGTCTCCGAATACCAATTACTTATTCATGGGTGATTATGTTGATCGTGGGTACTATTCTGTTGAAACTGTTACTTTACTCGTGGCCATGAAGGTTTTATTACTTGATGTTATCATGCTTTTCTTTAGGTTAGGTTCAAAGACCGAATAACTATCCTTCGGGGCAATCATGAAAGTCGTCAGATCACACAAGTTTATGGATTTTATGACGAGTGCCTTCGCAAATACGGTAATGCTAATGTTTGGAAATACTTTACCGACTTGTTTGATTATCTCCCACTAACTGCACTCGTTGACAATTCAGTAAGCTAAATACTACATTATTATTGTTAGATATTTTGCTTACATGGTGGTCTGTCACCTTCGATAGATACACTCGATCATATTAGAGCTTTGGACAGGATTCAAGAGGTTCCCCATGAGGTAAGTACTCTGTTTTTTATGTTTATTTGGGCACAAATATTAATACAAAGGGTTACCGAATATATAAGCACCACACAAGTCACTTGGTTTATGTGTCGGTTATGAAGAAGTGACCATCAGGGATAATATGCATCCGTGATTGTTTATCTATTTTATTTTACTTAAGCACATAAACATTGCTTCAAGGAAGCACCAAATATATGCACGTCACAGAAATAATTTGATTTCTGTGACGGCTGGAATTTTATCCGGATTCCCATACCAAAGGTGGTTATTTTAGACGACAACTCCCGGAGACTTCCACTTAAAGGTCTAATCCATATGGCAGTAAAGCAATGTCGAGATGCAGTCCCATGGTAGCTGGTGATCGACGATTGGTCGATAAGCCATTTGTTCCCTCGGAGTACTGGAGCCCATGTTTATCATTGGTTTGGAACCAGGTTTTCCAACTTTTGTATCTTTTTTTATTCCAGCGAGACTAATCTATAGACGACCTTTAAACCAATCCTAAGTGACCTTGAAAATATTAGCCAACCAGTGAACAATCAGCATACAGTAAAAGTTTATGCAAAACCAAAGGATTAAAGTGGATACAGTTCTTCAATGTGATCCAAGAACTTGTTAAGGTTAGGAAAAGGTTCTAAAATCGGAATGTACAAGATAGAGAAACTCATCCGTATGTCTCAATAATAGTTGGTCTCTAGAGCGATTACTTCACAAAAGCCCTCTCAGCCGCGATCACATAGCTTCATCATTCTTTGTGTGTACTCCGGTTGTGTAAGCTCATAGATTTTATCATGGATGTTTCCACAATACTCATATCACTGAATAGCCGAAGCTTCAGTAACATGCGATTATTGCAGCCGATGTTACTGGTGCTTTTATTATACAATTCGCGGTAATTATTATAATATGCCTTAGTCTCAATCTGGATCGAGCGATTAAGGTTCCTATTCTAGCAAACGTCTTCCTTCAACATATGTTACATCGAAAGACATCATGGTAGTCTGTACAAGGTCTACAAGTCATTTGATTATCGCAATTACTAAAACAGGAACTTCTTAGTAGTTCCATTTATTGTAGCCGCTTAATTATTAAGTCTTCTCTAAATTCCTCTATGAACCGATCGTACATGAGCATCAGGTATTAAAATTAACGCAGCGACCTTGAAATCCCTCAAACGCTTCTGACTTGCTCGTCCATAAATTATTGTCTCGCTGTTTTTTCCTATTCATGCTAGTTATGAAACTTAAATTTATAGACGAAGCAGTTAAATGTAAGATATCAAATCCCAAATTCCGACGCGAGATTCATTAAAAAATTGGCCTTATAGCGTCTTGAAATTTTAGCGCATATGAAACATCATAAATTCAATTAGTAACCCCTACCATCAATTGTAAATCAATCCTAATTCCTCACCCTTACTTTATAAATGTCAATCAGCCTTAGCAAGGAGATAGAAACTCACATGACCACTTCAGCGTCCCTCAAGGGTCGTCCGTAATTCATAGTCTCAACATGCTGACGATACAATCCTACGTCCACACTTAAATGAGAGTTCTCAGATTTCAAACAGTTTCATAGCTTATCAGTAAACTACAGTGTAGGACCAAGCACATATATGCATCGATCCAAATTGCCATACCTCATTAGAACAACAAACTGAACACCAAATTCATAATAGTTAATTTAGTAGTGGTAATATGTAAAAGGAAGGTTGTGTATAGGGATATAGTACAGGAAGAAAGACATATGAAGCAATTTTAATCTCCTGGTTTAAGGGAAGGCATAGTGTATACACCTACGCCACTGTGATGGATTCTGAGCTATGTCACTCAGAGTATACGGCAATTGGTTATGATAGTCACGCGGACCCTAACCAAGTAGTCCGCATCTACCAACATGGCTCAGACTAGAGGTTGATGATTCTAAGGAGTGATGCCATGTTTTGGTTTGGTCGCCCCTTACTTTCTTCAATATGTCTCTAACACTAGTCAACATTTCGCGTCGTGGTATACGATGCTCAGACATACGTAACATGTGGTCCAACCATCTCAGTCGATGAAGATTCACAACTTCATCAACTGATTTACCATCATTCCCTAATACTTTGCGTCTAAACCTCACTATTACTTACCCAGTGATCCCAGCAGATGCGAACAATATTTCTAAGGTATCTGTGCTTAGGGTTAGGATGACCAGTCAGATGTGATTGCGTCCAAATCCCAGATTTTAGCTAAAATATTAGTCAACCTAATCGCTAAAATTGGACCAGCATATTTAAAGACCACTGAAGCCAATCCATCTGGACCAGCTGCTCTTCCTCGTTTCGGATGAGTTATAGCCTTTTAAACTTTAGCTAGAGTCGGGGACCTACTTCAATGTTCCATTCAAACTGTTTGGGAATGGTGGATAACTGTAGAGTAGCTGAAGGCCAACTAAACTTTTCTTAAATGTTCCGCCATCGCTCCAAACGTCTGGGCTGAGAGCAGATAATGCTTTCGTCTTTTTCGCTTACACTTGACTTCTTAATTCCGATTTCTTTTATTAGTCTGAAGAGTTGCCTGGTGTTGCCTACAGCCGCCGCCTTTTCCATTTCTTCTGCTTTCGTTGCCTACCACTGCTCACGGTCGTTCCGTAGACTTTTGGTTAATCTAGATATGAGTTGCTTTCGCTCTTTATCGTGTTCATAACTTGATAGGATGGGTTTACGAGGATCCATCAGAGCAATAGACTTAGAAGAAATCCATTGGTTTTTTGGAACCGGGGTTTTTGGAACCCTTTGATTTAAATAACTAATAGATGTTACCGCTGTTCCCACAGCTGTTCGTATATCTTTCCAAGAAACATCTGGGGCAGCCTTGTTAACGGAATTGCCTAAATGTGAACTCAGTTGTTCCAGGAACTTACTTTTGGCTTTCTCATCTCCCAGTTCAATTCTAATGGGTCTTTTTAGTGTGGTTTTTCTGCGTCCACTGAGGCGAAAGCAAATGGCTGCTCGTATTAGATCGTAATCAGAGTTTAAACATGTATTCCAGTACGAGCAACAACCTATCAAGCCTCTCCAACGATGACTGATGGCAATATAGTCTATTTGAGTCCATCGTTGGTTTGGTGCAGGTGGTCGCTATGTTAGACGATGTTTCTCATGCTTAACGCTAGTGTTTGCTAAAAATAAACGATTTTTCTAGGCATAGTTGCAACAGACGATCACCATTATTTGTTCGCTGAGCTAGAATACTAAAATACCCACCTAAATGTCTTTCTGTTTGGTTTAAGCTACCCATTTCGGCATTAAAGTTACCTGCAACGAGTACCATTTCTAAGTGTTTAGCTTTATGAAGAAGTTCAGAGAGTTTTCTGTAAAAGCCATCTTTCACTTCATCTAGGCTGCAGTCAATGGGAGCGTAGGCAGAAACGATGAAAAGGCAACATGTGTCCATGTCCCTCCGAGTTGTTATAGGTCCATTTAGCCGAACAGCACATAGACGACTGTTAATGGGGACCCACTCTAATAGTGCTTGTTCTGCTCTCGTACCAAGTTCTATACCTACATCTGCAAGATCACGAGAACTAGTCATCGGGTTGCCAGATACACGGAGGGTGTACATCATCGGCTCTCCGTTTTAGCGAGGTGAATGACCACACTAGGATCCTGTATGTGTGTTTCGGAGACACAGCATACATCAATGGTACGAGATTCTAGGGTTTTAGCCAAGTAGGCCTGCTGACCGATTTTTGACACGGTGCGTGCGTTGAAGGCTCCAATGGGAGTTTGGAGCGAGGTTTTAGTAAACCTGGGACAGTGTTTTGCGCCTTAGAATCGTTGGCTATCATGACACTTGAGGAGGAAGTTTGTTCAAATTCGAGGTGAGAGGAATAAAAAAAATTGAAGGAGCTCGATTATGATAACAGTGATTTTGAGTGGTGTTAGAGGTGTGAGGGCTTCCCACACCGTGGAAGGGTTCTTCTAGAGGGACCTGGAAAGGAAATTGGATTAGAAGTGGTCTTAGTGACCTGAGAGTGTGACCGCAGTGCCCAAGGGACAACTGCTTGAGGTCGGTCACACGCGACCTTTTTGTGGGTAATTTTTATGTTAGCTCCGCACCTGTTGTGACCTTACCGCCGGAGACGGATATCTGTAGGATAAGGGTAAGTGTGCATTATAGGATCGACCTTTTTAACTCCACCCCTCGTGGGAAGGCGGCATCGCTGTTATGCTGGTTGTCTGAAGGAAACACCTTACTGCCGTCACACCTCTGTACATTCAGCTGTACGACTTCGTCTTGGGGCCTTGGGTTTGCTGCTTTTAGTCCTACCGCTCTTCAACCGACATGTATGGCATGGTAGGACCGTGAAGAACGATTGTTCCATCCAGTATAGCTCGATTGGTTCATCACAATAAGCAAGCCCAACCACCACGTCAAGGTAGTAGCAACGGTCGGTTTCATAACTTATTACACTGTTTCTACCAATTGGTTGATACTATTAGTTTCCACTTAGACAAGCATATTCTGTCTTGATTTCCCCACTCCCAACTCAAAGAATATTGTACTCAGTGAGAACTAAGTCATCTCGAGATCTACTTAATTGTTCAGATGCTCACTGATAACATGGTAGGACACATGATCATTCTTCTTTCTACCTACAGGCTTATTGTTACTAGCTTTCAGCTGGGTACACAGATCTATATTCGATTACCTGAAGTTACATTTCTGCACCAAACGTTTATATATTAAAGTAGTTAAGGTCGTGTTTACCGATTACATATGTTCTAACTAGAGTAGATACCACGCATTATAGATTGATAAACACGTTAAGACAATAATTTCACAGTTGTCTGCAGAATGTGGTTCGGAATCACGAAGAACATAAACAAGTCGCCTTTATCCGCGATTCGTAAGTCTGTCTTTATGGTATATTCATCAATGGTCTAAAACCCAGTTGAAAGTCATTAATATGTTGAAGTTACCAGGTTTTGTATCTGCTATCAGACAACTGAGTGCCAACGCATTTTAATATGGTATCCATCTCAATTTATTAAAGTGATCCGAAATTTTTAATATTTGTTAGTAACTTCATCTTAATATGTTTTTGTAAATTAACGTGGCCATTAAGAGTAGAAGATACTCGTAAGCTACTAGTATTTAACTAAAAATAACTTAGAAATATTGTTCGCATCTGCTGGGATCACTGGGTAAGTAATAGTGAGGTTTAGACGCAAAGTATTAGGGAATGATGGTAAATCAGTTGATGAAGTTGTGAATCTTCATCGACTGAGATGGTTGGACCACATGTTACGTATGTCTGAGCATCGTATACCACGACGCGAAATGTTGACTAGTGTTAGAGACATATTGAAGAAAGTAAGGGGCGACCAAACCAAAACATGGCATCACTCCTTAGAATCATCAACCTCTAGTCTGAGCCATGTTGGTAGATGCGGACTACTTGGTTAGGGTCCGCGTGACTATCATAACCAATTGCCGTATACTCTGAGTGACATAGCTCAGAATCCATCACAGTGGCGTAGGTGTATACACTATGCCTTCCCTTAAACCAGGAGATTAAAATTGCTTCATATGTCTTTCTTCCTGTACTATATCCCTATACACAACCTTCCTTTTACATATTACCACTACTAAATTAACTATTATGAATTTGGTGTTCAGTTTGTTGTTCTAATGAGGTATGGCAATTTGGATCGATGCATATATGTGCTTGGTTCTACATTGTAGCTGACTTTGTAACCCACATAACTCATCACTCAGTTCCGGCATTAATATTTTAGACTTTTTCACCCAAAAACTAACCTCACAGTTCCTGTACCATCTGAAATTGATTTATTATCCATTTAGTATTCGATAACAAATCGCAAGACCATCTCAACCCACATCAACCTTAAGCCTAATTTTTAAACAACCTTGTTTTTGGTATCCGCATCATTCACCATTATTTGAACTTTCAAGCTAGTTTCCTTTTAAATCGATCTCTAGTCGGTCAAGATGATTACGTTTTTTCATCATTCTTCAAGAATATAATGCCCATAAACCTACTGTAATCTCTTTTTGTACTTGATCTTTCGGTTTTAATACTGAAAAATACTGTTTTTGTATCTTTCTGTTCTATGTTTGTCGAACGGAGGTCAAATTGTTTTGAATGCGCGTTGTATTTTATTGTATATATAGCTGTTTGCATATCTAATAGTTCAAACTAATAGACTATTCATTAATTTTTTTATGTAATTTTTTTTTCAGGGTCCAATGTGTGACTTATTGTGGTCCGATCCAGATGATAGGGGTGGTTGGGGTATCAGTCCACGTGGTGCTGGTTATACATTTGGACAGGATATTTCAGAAACGTTTAATCACAGTAATAATTTAACCTTAGTCAGTCGAGCACATCAGTTAGTTATGGAAGGCTTTAACTGGTGTCATGATCGAAATGTTGTCACTATATTCAGTGCTCCAAATTATTGTTATCGATGTGGTAATCAAGCAGCTTTGATGGAACTGGATGATAATTTGAAATATAACTTGTAAGTTATTATTTTGCACATTTTCTTCGTTCTCTTTTATGTGACACTTTGTTTCTTGATAAATTCGTTCCATCATAATTCACGATATTGTTACTGCACTATGAATTATAGAGAATCAATAATTACAGCCAATACAGTCATTTCATGGCTATATAAACTTCGTTTCCCCTTGCAACACCTTGTTTCAACATTATTAAACAATGCACCATATAGGAGTATCTGTAACTGTGTCTAACCCTCAGAAGCCGATGGTTGGAGATGGTAGCAATTACTCAGTCAGTATTATAAGAGATATTGCAACCGTTCGGTAATCTGAGATTCATCGAACATCTGTGATTCTGAAAAATTCATCTTCACGAAGTCAGCAAAAGAATCCTCGTCGATCGCTGAAATAAAATTGCGACGGAGCTAAGAGTAACCGACTTGCTATAAGCTGTTCTGGATGTCAATTAGTCGGCTACAACATAGGATCAGGCACATATATGCATTGGTTCAAGTTGTCACACCTCATCAGCACAACAAATTCTAAGAAGTAGTTACTTCAGTGTTAGTAATATATATATATATAATATTGTGTATAAGGATTTAATACAGAAATAAATAATTAGTTCGTAGGAAGAAAGATATAAAGGAATTTTCATGTCAGGGTTTAAGGGAAGGCATAGCGTGTACACCTACGCCACTGTGATCGATTCTGAGCTATGTTACTCATAGTATACAACAATTGGTAACGATAGTCACGCGGACCCCAACCAAGTAGTCTGCATCTACCAACATGGCTCAGACCAGAAATTAGTGACCCCAAATGCCCCGGTACAGCCGTGAGTGGGGAGAGTCCTCTCTCCCTCTCGGAATGCTCTCACATGGTCAGCGAATATATAGCCTCTGCCAGGGAAGTCCTGCTCACTGCCTTCTCGTGGCGGGGGTGTTGTTTACGAAATTGAGAGGACGAAAAGCGAATGTCCGGGGCTTTAACCGGGTTGGTGGACAAGGCGAGTCCACCTAGGGGAGTTAGAAAACCCCGACTCCAAACCAATGGTGCACATGGGCTCCAGTATCTTGAGGGAACAAATGGCGTACGAATCAATCGTTGATCACCGGCTACCATGGGACTGCATCTCCTCACGGTGCTCCACTGCCTTGTGGATCAGATCTTTCGGTCAAAGGCTCCGGGTGTGGGTCCCTAAGAAAACCACCTGCTTCAGTTCGGGCACCTGGGTAGTATCATAGCCCTCAAGCAAATCGAATAAGATTTGTATGGGGCATATGTATTTGGTGTTTCCTTGTACCAATATTCATGTGTTTAAATAAATAAATAAAATTGCTCTTCCAAGCATCGCTAATTTATTTATTTATTTAAACACATAAATCTTGGTACAAGGAAGCACCAGATAAATATGCGCCTCACAAATCTCGCCAAGTCAGCATGACGCGTCGTGGTATACGGTGTTCAGACATACGTAACATGTGGTCCAACCATCTCAGTCGATGACGATTCACAACTTCATCAACTGATTTACCATCATTCCCCAATACTTTGCGTCTAAACCTCACTATTACTTACCCAGTGATCCCAGCAGTTGCGAACAATATATCTAAGGTATTTGTAGTTAAATACTAGTAGCTTACGAGTATAATCTATTCTCAATGGCGGTTTCGCAGCCCTAATGTAAAACGGAACGAACTGCTGCGCAGTATACTCGTCGTTTAATTGATAGATGGATATCTAGCCTTCCCCATAGGTGACGTAACTTGAAAAAAGTCAATTGAGTTTTTTGAGTCCATACAGGCATTTCGTCAAACAACATCCATCCATCCAGACGTCAAAAAGCATAATGAAGCCTATAAAAACCTAATGTTGCTAAGTAGTTAATGAATTAATTCTCAACTGACTTAGATTTATTATTAACTGTATTTTATGCCAATTTTGTATTAAAAAGAGAGCAAAATATGTATTTGTGTCTTTATATTTAGTTTGCAGTTTGATCCCGCACCACGTAGAGGTGAACCACATGTATCAAGGCGTACCCCGGACTACTTCTTATGATTTTCGTCCTGTCATATCCTTCTTTCAATGTTTTTTTCACCGGCCTGTGAAAGTAAAGGATTGACCAACAAGTCAAATAAGTTCATGTTTTATCCGGTTAAAGTTAGCCTATGTGAACATTCATGTGAAAAAAACGTTTTGGAACTGTTCACTACTGCTACATCAACGCCGATCTTCTGTTAAAATTTTATTGTCTCACTTTTTTCTCTTCCATTGTTTATATCTAATTATATATAAACACTAATAATGCCTTGCTAGCCTTTTTACCAGTTTATATAAATATGAGTAGACATACAAATGAGTTATTCGATCGAAACACTTAATTGACTTATCTATGTCTACCAACTCTGTAATTTGGAAATAATGGTTAATTTTCTAGTCTTTTGAACGTAGAGAAGTTTATTTTCTGGCTAACATCAAATGCATACTTTCATGAGTTGCACTCATGGATTTCTAGTGTGCTTATGAGTCTGTTACACCAACTTTAACTTTGCACAACTGTGTTTAGCTATACACCTAATACTTAAAGACGTATAAAAATAACAACAGTGTTCTATAAACAAGCAATTCAGATGGTTGAATTTTTCTGTTTTCATGTTAACAATCTAATTAATTTCCGATTTGTATTAGCGTTTTACTGAAGTTTCTCACTCTATAGTATCTCATTTGTGTTTCTGAATCCGTTCACAAAACACTTAAAAAAGATTTCGTGCTATGATACATCGATCCACTATTTGTGGTTATTATCTATTATCCCCATTTAATTGATCACTGGATGTTAACTTTTCACACTATATGAAGATTTGTGAGATTCGGCAGTTGTGTTCTCACCTCATAATCTGTGACACCGTTAATGATTAATAAATTTCTCCAACAGTATAGTTTTTGATGTCTATATCATATGTTAATATAGAGTTGCGAACAAATCGTTCAGTTTAAGCTAGTAGCTTGGTTCGGAAGTGTCTGTAAATCTAAGTTTTCGGAAACTGAAGGCCCTCAATTTTATATCTGTTTGCTTGCTTATTGCTCCATGTATAATGATGCAGATCTACTCGTGTCGATGTGCAGCATCTTAGGACCTATGTACTAATATTATTCTGGGTAGATATTGACCAACTATTTTATCATCTCTTGAGGGCATTTCCGCCTTATTGTAGGACAATCAAGTAAACAGTGCTGGATGTGTATTACCAGATAACTGCGAATCAGTTGATGAGGATGCAGAACTCCAACTGGCACCTGAGACATATTTTACATAGACGTGAGGCTGGTTAGTTCGGGTATTTGAAAGATGTGTAAGAATACCAAGATACTACAACCGCTTTTAATGTTCTCCAGTATTATCAGGATAACATATGACCGTAACAAGGAACTAGAGGTTTTATTGTTTCATAGGTTTCCCTAGTAAAGGTTACGGTGAGCCAGTAAACTAATCAAAACGAAGTGTACAAATTACAGTCTTTGTTAATTTCTTCTTTTATCGGTTAGATTCACTAGTGTTCAATTGTTGTACCTGTCCACTCAATAACTTTTTTTTATTATCTGGAGATCTGTTAAGGTAAAACCTCAAATAACATCATACTCATACTTACTGTCTCGTTTTGTCGGCAGATTCTAAAGTACTGCTTGGTTTTTTTTAAGAGGACTATTGATCTTTACAAGCGAACAGTCGTATGTTGTCATGTTACAGGTGTTGAACTATTTCAAAGCCAGTGCATCGTAACCGATGTCTCGTACATCTTGAAAATAAAGTCGAGTTCTTTTTCATATTATAAGAACTCAACTATGAAGTTTTCGTATTGAACAGGGTTAAACTTTCCTATCCACCGAAAGGTTGATAACTGGTGGGTTTCCGATTTATTGAGACTTCGTAACTACCAATGAAAGTAAATGTTCATATACGTAGCAACATAATATATTGTATTTCAACCTGTCAATACTAAATTTTGTTAATGTTTTAAAATTATGATTTGAAAATAGAACTAAATTTACACTTAAGACAAGTAAGTGCTAATTCCGTCATCTAAGTTGACACAACTATGAAGGTGAGGTCATAGTACTTAAATTATACTTTTTGCCGGAAACGAAATTAAAAGTGATGATATACAGCTGTTCGTTATCATAATTGTTGTATCCTGGGCAACTTCTGAGAACTATTAATGGACTGATATTATATATATTCCTATTGTATAACTGCTCAGTAACTAGATTACGTTTATGTATGTATATCTATATTCCTCTTATTATAAGCTTCATTTTGACCTACAGACTATTGTGATACAATTTACATAAATTATACTCAGTTCATCAATTACACTCTTCCATGATCATAGCCAATTTTTAGCTTGATCTTGTGTAATTTTTATTTCCTATCTTATTGTGTGATGTAGTCCGTTTGGCTTGTATATAAACAATTATGTTTGAAATAAATGATTCTTATAGTAGGATATGTTATTGGTGTTCTGGACTCGAGTGGCTGGGTTGGAAGAAAAGAAGACCAATAAGGACGCTAGGCTGCTCATAGTGGTCGAACATCATTGGTTTGGCACAGCACTAAGATTGTATAAGTCGTATTCCGATCAGCGAATAAGTCGTGATAATTAGCCGGACTTAAAGTCAACAATAATCTACACGAATAAGACCTAATGGCATTCGTTTTCTTTCAAAAGTTCAGTCATGGTTACACGCAATCCACTAAGTTTATCAAGATCAGATGTCAACATAAAGGTTAAGTTTGTTTTTGATTCTCGCGATGAATCAAGGTGATTCATAAATACGTTTGACCTTAATATTCATCCATTAAAGGTTTTCCTTTTTAAAACGTGTAAACCAGAATACCAAGTACATGTTTCATTTTGAAGGGTTTCAATATTGAGTTTATTAAGAATTTCCTTTATGATGTCAACTCTAAACGCATAACTCAGCCACAAAAGTGTTGATAGTCAACGACACTATAGCGAAAATGGTATCAGTTGTTTGTCGTACACTTCGGAATCGGATTACATCTGAGTTCCGTCACTTCAATTTAATATTGCGAATGATTGAGTTTCGAGATAATAAAAGATTATATGGAAACTCAGTGTTTTAAAATGAAGACAGTTTTTATAAAAGCTCGTAGATCCTAGATCCATACGGGGACGAAACGACCGTCCATATAAACTTACACCAGCAGTATGAAAGCATTTTAGACTATCATATGAATATATGCAGACAACAATGAGCACGAATTTGATTGCAAAGGCGTCAAGACGTTAAACTGAGAAAATTCCAAGAATGATTTCGATTTGTGTAGATTGTTAATTATCATATTCATCCATATAGGTCCAGTCTATCAAGTATCTACATACTGATGACAATTTATCTTGTAGAAAATGATGCATTCACTGTTAGACTGCTACGTGTTGGAGAGTTCAGGTTTCCTTGTTGGAATCCCTGGGGTATTTAGAAACTAAAGGTGATATCTTCCTTTAGTGAAAAATATCACTGATGATGTGTCAGTCAGATAGTAACAATGTAGGAATTCGTACGTATGTACATCATTTCAAGTTGCCATACCACTTTAGCACAGCGATACAATTGTCGATTCAAATCCCATAGTGGTAGAAGTAGTATGAGTATAAGCAGTAATCGGAAAGATTAGGGTTTGAAGATGTTATTCAAGGAGTATAATCCAATGAAATAAATTTGGAAAGGGAAAAAACAAGAATTTAGGTGAGCACAAACAGTGGATGAACCTGCGCCATTGCAAACGATTTTGAGCCATGTTATTTAAGGTCTCTAACCATCGGTTGCTATCATCTCGCAGAACCCAGCCCAGTAGTCAACACCTACCAACTTATCAGTGACTTCATGGATTTGTGCCACGTCTTGGTCTGGCCACCCCTAGCTTTCTTCCATCCTACACCATAAAACATCACTCGCCAGGGCAGTAGGTGGTTGAGCATACGTAACACATGTCTCAGCCATATCAACTGATGAATTTTCACTACTCCGTCAATTGATTTGCCATCCTTACCTAGTACCCGTTTCCTAACAATCACACTACTTATTCAGTGGTCCTAGGACATATGAGAAATGCCTCGAAGACACGTACGGTCGAATGATGATGTGTCATACACTACACTGAAATAGAGGATTCAGAGCAGTGAATTCTGATTCAGTGTTTTATAACTGTCTTACCAGTTGCAATCTTGAGCACAGTCATTGACACACACTACTATGACATTTCAAACTAAAATAGCAAAGTTGTCTAATGCTACTCCAAATTGGACAATATCCAGAAAATTTTCATCACAATTACAGTATTAATAGAAATAATATAAAACAATTGATGTATTTGATTTTGCTAATAACTATAAAATAATTGAGAACTCTGACCAATAAGTTACATTTCTAAGTGTACGCCTATTATTATTATTACGGTTATTATTATTATTAGTAGTAGTATCAAATTGAGGTCAAACTCCCATACTCTATCATTAATAAGGTAACTCTTTCATAGATTTACAAACAATTTATTTGGAGCCTACTTTTTAATGAAGACAAATTATTCACATAGAAACACATTTGTATAAATTTATGCATAAAAAGTACACCGTTTTTAAATAATATCATAACCATGTTCATCAATATCCAACATTTGTAACAGAAGTATGCCTAAATACAGTCAATATATTACGAATAATTAACGAATTACATATATGGATTCATGGAATAATAACAATCCTTTTACTATGATAATCGACATCATTTTGAATAATACTGATAATAAGTAAACAGACGATTATTGTATCCGTTTCCATGATCAAATTTGTAATACTTCGATATCAGTATCAATATTATCTAATTGAGAAGTAGTGATATGATTGAATCGATTATTATTAAAAGTTCTATGTTCAATATTATTCAATGAGTTTCTATTATCAGTCATGTTGAATTCATTTGATAGTTGATTAACTGTTTTATGAAATGTTAACCATGATGGACTTTTTGAAGTGAATAAATGATTTTTATCATTATCATTGTTATTTTCTTGATTAATTCCTGTTTTATAGTTTGAATTGTGTGTATATTCATTGACAATGTTATAATTGTTTTTCAATAGGATTTCATCATTAGAAGGTTGATGTTGATTTATCACTTCCTGATATGTATAATAAGTGAATAAATAAAACAAAAGAACAAAATACAATATGAGTAATATGGTTGTGCTTTTCCATAAAGAATTTATAAGACTTGTAAACTGCTTTTATTACCTTTTTTTCGTTCTGGTATACCTCAATGGTACAAATGACAATCGTCAATATAAGTAGTAATTATGTGGTATTTCGAGTTTGTGGATCAGATTTACTTGCATATATTTCACAGCGATGATAATTTCATAAAACAGTGTTATTACAATCGTCTCACAGAAATTTATTGATGTGAAAAAACTCGCTCAATAACTATTGTTAATAATACTATTTTACATATAAGCTATTTTCTTAGGGAACCACACCGCGAGCCTTTCATCTGTAGGTATAATCCACAAGGCAGTGGGGCGAAGTCAGGAGATGCAGTCCCGTGGTAACCGGTGACCAACGATGGTTCGTACGCCATTTGTTCCTTCAGGATTCTCGAGCCTATGTTCACCGTTGGTTTGGAATGGGGGTTTTCCAACTCCCCTGGGTGGATCCTTCTTATCCACTAACCCTGGTAAATAGCCAAAACATCGCTTTTCGTCCTCTCAATTTCGCAAAGAACACCGGTGCTGCGAGGAGGCAGTGAGTAGGAATTCCCTGGAAGGGGTTGTATGAACGTGGCCGTGTGAGAGCGATTCGAGAGGGAGAGCTGACTCTCCCCACTCTCAGCCGTACGAGGGCATATGAGGGTAAAATTTTCATAGGGACATACTTATTATTGATAGGTGAATCTAGGTGAGCTCTGAACTAATTAATCGAGAAGCATAAGTGAATTATTTGCTTATTAAAGATCACCGACTACATCTTCCTATTTTAGTAATTTTAGCTATCTACATATACGTATCAGTCGTACAATTTAGGCTCCCATTAACGTTTTGTCTTTTTCCTTTGCATAGCTACATGGTCAAGTTTAAATAAAAGGATAAGAAATAAATTCCTCTGAAAAAAAGAAACAGAGTATTATGTCAGAATGAATTCCTTCAGTTAAATAAGAATATTAAGCTTAGTAAATCCTACTTATTCATTTATTCTATGGATTATCTTCAGATGTATACAACTTTAAATTAGTAACGATCATTATTAAAATAAACTAATAGACCCAAGAGATGTTTATATAGATGAGAAAGTCCAGATCAATTTTGAAGACAACGGGGAGGTAGGTCAGTTTGGGAAATTGATTTATTAAAACAAAAATGGGAATAATTATGTAATAAATATTGCTGTAATTATAGAAATTTATATTGGTTGTTATGCAATATTGAACTCAAAATACAAAAAAAAATACATCACATTATTATCGGTTATCAAATGATACCTTTATTCATTTACAATTAGAAGGATAACAAAATGAATGGATAGAGCACCAATTCACTTGAATAATTATCTTAAGTCTATCGTAGACTAAAATGTTAGATATCAATTTATTTCAAGAAATAACTGATTTACCTTTCTACTGTTTATATTTCATAGTCAATTCTTTATAATCATTATTATTTTCTTGTTTGAAATAGAGTACCCTAAACTGATACATTATTTCTTGAAGTTAAACTAATAGTAAGTCCTGGGTTCGAATCTCACAAGGCGGGATCGTGGATGCGCACTGGTGAGAAGTCCCATAATAGGACGAAACGGCCATCCAGTGCTTTCAGGTTTTCAATGGTGATCTGGTTGCAATGGACTCATTATTTCAACCATAAAATTACTGAAATCTCCACAAAACTCCTTCTGACAAACAAATTTTATTGTATTTTTAAGATGCAAGATAATCTTGGAAGTTAATTCTTTATCGAAAATTAACTGAAGCGTAAAATTTAACCGATCGCATTGTAACTTGATGTTTATTGCTTAAATGAAGTTATGTGTTTAGTTAAATATGGTTTAATAAATTCAAAGATAAACAGCTAATTAACCCAATTGGTATTAATTTGTGATAATTACAATATCATAAAATTCTGTGTATTATGAATATACTAAAAAACATCTTACCGATGTTTCATGGACCTTATCCTTTATCGATCCAAATAAGTCATTCCATAGTTCTTCTTCTCTTGTCTTTCCAGTACTAATTTTTAGATGTGATAAATTACACAAAAATTAGAATAAAAAGTAACTTGAATATAGTAAAAACTGTATTAAATCTACTTACAATTATTTGGTCATTGAATAGTTACCAAGTCATGTTTGTTTAATACTTTAAACACTAATTAAATACCCTCGATTAAGTTGTAACGTATCTATCAGTTTAAGTAACCTAATTTCTCGTAGACTGTGTTTTGATCTAAGCAGACTAGAGGTAGCCAGAAGGAAGCTTTAAGCTTCAGTCTCTCGTCAAACTAATAGGTACTCATCAACACTGATTACCTGATGTCTTGAAGAAACTGATGCTTCCTGTGAGACTCAAATCTTTTGTATTGTTTCGTAAATATTATCTCACATTACCTTTTTGAAATAATTTTATCTCACCACAACAAGTTAGTTAAGTTGTACGCAAAAACAAAAACAATTGAATAGGTTGTAGTGTAGTGAATGAGAACATAAGTGGGGACAACCAAATGTATCGCAATGCCAAATAACAGAACATCCTAGCAAAATCTGAGAATCATACAAGTATTTTTTTTTATCCTTCTACAACATCACTTCATAATGTTTGTGAAGAAAAAATCAGTTTGATAGAAAGTTTTTATTCCAAAGCAATATCAGCTGGGCAATCATTGCATAATGCTGAAATATGATAGAATTAAATCCTTGACATTTTATAGTGAACACATTTTATCACTACATTATATGGAGTAGATAAACTGTAGTTATTAGTGAAAATGCTGTAATCCTACTTCGGCCTCATCAGCTGTATGCAGCTATACCCAACTTTAAATACCCTTATTACAACTCAAATCCAGTAACATTCACTTCAAAAACTGGGATATTATCCACCTGACTACTAAAGCATGATAAACACCAACTTCTTCAGTGGATATGATGTTTGTATCATTGTTAGTAAAGGTTTGAATTAACCTTTCCTGAATACTTGCAAAAGAAATAATCTTAACCCTTATTATTATTGATAAGATCATCATATACATTCATCAATTTAATGATTCTTTAAACTCAGCAGATCAATAACTAATGTGTTCAAATCTAAATAATTTAAAGTACTTGCTTTCAGTCCGAATATGAACGTTAACACTGTGTTATTGTTATATTCAGCTGACGAGTCCCAAACAGGACGAAATGGACTTTATTCCATTTGTTTCATAAGAATTATGATAAAATAATGAGGTGATACATACAAGATACATACAACAAAGAATGATTCAAATTCAATCCTGAATACAAAGAACAAGATTAGGAATGAAAGTTAATTAAAACTGTTTTCACTTACTTATTCATAACTGAATTGTTAATGGGATTATGTAATAAGTTTGATTGTGATGAAATATGATTTTCATAATGTTTATTGTTTATTTCTTTTTTATCGATTTCTTGAAGGGTTTGTACTAAATGGTTTTTATATTTTCTTTCTTCGATTTCATTTTTAGTCATTTCTTTTATGTTTTTCCTATCTGTATTACTTTCATGATTCATTTTAGTAGTAGTATATATATGATTTTCATAAGTTAATTCATTTTCTTTAGAGTTTGAATCAAGTTGAATTGAATGATTATTTTTACTCATTTCATTATGATTAATGGGAAGATCATTATTTTGCAGTTTTCCGGTTAATCCATTCATTGACTTCACTTCGGTATCATTGTTATTACTATTCGTTCGGTTGATATTTTTGTTTAACAAAACAGAAATAACGAAGAGGGGTTTTTGTGGATATTATAGTAAATTAACAGTTGAGATCATGAGTCAATTAAAGCTAGACCACCATGGAAAAACTTGAAGCACTGAACGACCGTTTTGTCCTATTGTGGGACTCCTCAGCAGTGCACATCCACGATCTCACCCTGTGAGATTCGAACCTAGGATCTATCGGTCTTGTGAGCGAACGCTTATCCTCTAGCTTCAATTGACTCATGATCTCAACTATTAAAACAGAAATAGTTAAATAATTAACAAAATTAGAATGGCGCTTATTTTATGGAAATCATATATAAGCAAATATGAGATAGATTTCGGAAAGTTCTAGTAAGAAGTTGTTACTCGCAAACATAATTAGATCAAGAATGCGGTAACTGTTATCCATTGAACTGGTGAACGATCTGGTCTAGTCACAAAGTAAGGAGTTGGAAATCTGAACTGTGTATTAATATCCTGATAGTAATAGCCGACATTTTATATTTAAAGGTTCCCATGTCTTCTATTACTGATTGTGCTCAATATGAATTACATACATTTATATAAGATGTGAATTTTGTGGTCAACCAAGTATTGTAGAAAAATAAATGACAAGGGATAAGCAAAGTAGACATTAATCAACATTATGAATAGTCAGTTAATGGTGGAACAGAAAATGAAGATTGATATGACGATTCAGAAAGAAATACTTCAGTATGAACATATATGTGCTAGATTATAGTTTTGCTACAATATCAATATTCAGATTAGGCAACTGATAATAGGCCTTGAAAAATAAGTAAACTTTGTGAAATCCTCATTGGGATTTTGTTGCAAAAGAATTCAATTCATACATACTTTTGACTCACTGGCTAAAAAGTGATTTCGAAATCACAAGGCTGTTTCAACGAAGCTGTTTACCCATCCCAGTAATTTTGAATAATATTTGGGCATAATCAGACTATAGTTTTAATGGTTAAGTTATTCTACCATTGGACCAGTAAGCAGAAAGCACTTTTCTAAATTTTTTTTACCAATTATTAAAGGTATCCGGATTAATATTGATGACAGTTACCAATTCGTTCGATCATGGTCGTCTATTGACTAATCATTGATTTCATGATAAATTCTTCGAAGTTCTACTGGAAGGTCATAAATTATAGAGCCCATAAAACTAAGAATCAGATCAGTGGCTTAGTGATACTATTGGATGTTTATTGTAGAGTGTCATAGATTAACTGAGAATAAAATTATTGATAAAAGTTTCTTGACTCAATGACTTGCCGGAACTTCAAAATCAATTCGTTTAACCACTTATGCACAGTAACAAAATATCGTTAACTTTAATACATGGTTACCATGTCGTGATTTTCAATGACTTTTCACTTGAATACAGCCACCAGTACTGAGTATCTGGTAGTCAGTTTAACGTTTATTACTTCCATTTGACAAGATTATTCAAATAAACAATTCTATATTGAATTCTTATGTTTCAAAGTAGTGCATTTTCCATAATATTTGGCTACATTTTTCAATGAAAGGATATTATGTAGATTATTTTTTAAGTTTTAGATAGTATTCGTCACTAAGTTAACCCACTTTGGCTAGCAATGAAAGATGGAGACAGCTAATTTGTCATAGTATGGAAGCTCCATACAGACTATATTGAGGGTTGAACACAGGACTTTAAGTGGACGTTTCAAGTCCATAACAATACGACGAATACATTATCAGCTAGTAATATACATTTCCAATTTTAGTTGTTTCATGATTTAGCGTCATGGTCAGCTGTTTTCAATCGTGACATTGATAGACTTCACAAGTCACAAACTTCCACACCAAAAGAACTCAAAGACTCATCCAGTAACTAGTCAGTAAAAAGTTCACGATTTCGTTTGATCATAAATCTAGAATTTGAGTTACGTAATTTTCGACAATAAATTTGAAAAACAACAATATGAATAACCTACTTTACTTTATTGCTTTGAAGATTGGATTCATCTGAAAAAAATTCATTTAAGAAACCTAATAACACACATATAGTCATGATTAATTAATTATACATTCAAAAAGAACTCATTCAAGTGGATGCACTCAGAAGAAAAGTTGTTATAACCATAGATAGTTTTGTGGATGTGATAGTAATTAAATAGTTGAATTCATGAGTTAATCGAAGCTAGATAGGTCCTGGGTTTGAATCTCTTGAGATGGGATCGTGGATGCGCACTGCTGAAGTGTCCCATACTAGGACGAAACGCCTACCCACTGCTTCCAGGTTTTTCATGTTGATCTAGCTTTAATCGCCTCAAGAATTCAAATATTCAAGAAACATTGTTGTTTGAGTATTATCTTTGTAAATTACTAATTTTTTTGTGTTGGTTAGTCTATGAAATGTTTTATTCAAGTTGAATCTGTTTAGGTGAGATGAACGCATTTTGATCGTTAAGATCTAAGAGTGACAACAATGATCTGTAAGTGATGAATAATGATGTACAATGTAATGGCTTATACAATGGACAAAAGTTCCACAAAGGAACTGATATTAACACATGACATAATTTTCGGTGAGACAGGTCATTTTCTTGGTCAAATAACACAAACATTTTAGAACTGATAGAACTGTAAATGTTTAAAAGCACGTCACTGGAATTCTTCGTGTAGGAATAAGGCTTCTTTGGAAGTTGATGTTGCTATACAGGAGTGTTAGAATTTATGAAAATAGTTTATATTGTTGACGTAATGCATAAATAATACACAATGATACAATATGGCTAAGTAACAGAAGCACGCGAGGCAACAATAATTAAGTTTAAAGAGCAGGAATTGGTTTACGTTTCTAAAATGAACTCCTTACCATTCAATAAAATGGCTATCGAATCGCGGATTACAACATTGCACACTATAATATTCATTTACACGAATATAAAATTTTTAAAAATATCTTTAAATGTATACTTCACTAATAGTGAAGTATGTTTTGAACTAAGTTCTTTCGTTAATCTCAGACACTTTGTGTAAACCTCTGCAATTTCCATTTATTCGTAAATCTGAAATTGCATTGTAAAATACAAACTTCCTTCCGGTAATTGATTATAGACATCCAATTTTATAACATACTGACCGTAACCAGTTGAACAATATCGACCTTGCTTACTACTCTCTCTGAAGAGTTTACCTTTACTTACAGATCACTATTCTCTTCATTTTTATTGATGATCGATTGGGTGTAATTAAAATCATAGTGAACAGCTAGTTAGAAGAATGATGTAATTGTATTCTGATATAACTGGTTCTTCATAATAGTATTGTCATATTTTCTTGTTTATTTATTACTTACCAAATGTTCTCACTATTGAATAACATTAACATAAGGACCCTGGGGTTCTAGTTGAAGCTTATATGACTGGTGGGATTCAGTCATGGCAAGCATCGGACATGTTTCACCGGTCACTTTTAATGGTCGTCATATTACATAGTAAATTGATTATATTATGAAGTAGGAACCATCGATTTCGAATAGATGGATTCGATGCCTGTTGAAATAGTTGGAGTAAGGAGTGTACTAATGAGACAAAATGGGTTTTATTTGTTATATACTTCAAACCAATTCGTGATTCGAACCATATTTCTATTCCGTTTATGGATGTTAACACATGATCAAGCTAACATATCAGAATTAGAATGAATAAAGGAATAAAAGATCTTTTATGTTTCTAATCGATAGACTTACTTGTTTGGTGATTCTGCTAAAAATGTAGAAGAAAAATTAAATAAGGAAACGAACTATTTTTGTTGCGACTATTTAAAAAGAAATCTGAATTAAAATGTAATAGGCAACCAGAATCTTCTATTTTTAAAGCAGAATAACAATTTCATTGAATACAAAGCCAAGTAAAACTGTGCGTTAGCCTAAGTTACCGTAGCATCACATGAACACAACAAAATGAAGACAGCGAAATCAATTTTAGTGACTCGGGATCTGAATCCAAGTAGATCGTATGAATAGTTGTTATTGAATGATTGCTGTCGAAATATATATGTCGTCTTTCCTCGTATATTTCATCGACTTAATCAGAATCGGTGTATAACGGAATTAAATAAGTCAAATACGAGAAATGACTTTTGAATACATATATTTTGTACAATCAGAAGGACAAAACGAAGAGAAGTGAGAGAAGCGAAATGACGTGCGGTGCAAAGGGTGTGTGAGCGGACTCCATTTAATCAAGCGTTAATCGATATTTATGATCACAAAAAATTATCTACAAACATCTGATGGATGGGTTAAGAAGTGTACACACATATGCGCTCATTTAAAAACAGTCAAGATTTACAAGAAAATGATTGATAAATTCAAAATGTGACTCGAGAAGAATGGGTAAATTGGCCAGTTCAGAAGCTAGAATAAGTTACATGGCCTTAACATAGTATATAAATATAAATATAAACGCTATCTCTGCCGCCTGTTCTCCTGCTTTATTGATCGCGGCCTTTGATTGAAGATTATAATAGTACTATAACAACCTTCTAGGCCTTCACACACCTTGTTGGAGTTTTAGCCCGGATCATTATTAAATAATACTATCGGATATATACTTCTTCATTATGCTGTTGGTGCTACCACGTGCAGAGGAACCTTAGTGAATCAAGTGAAATCATTTGTGGTTGTTATCTCAATGAGCAGCTTACAAGTAACATTCATTTCATAACAGCTGTTACTATTTTGTTGTTCAATATACCGTTTTACATTGTAACTGTAATTTGTTAATTTTTGCGTTACTCATACACATACTCTTAGGTTTGTAGTGTTCATTCTTTTGGTATATTATTGGTAACATTGCGTATTGTTATATCTTGACTAGACTCTTTTGCTGAGATCCACCACAATCAATAGATCCTGGTTTCGAATCTCGCGAGGTGGGATCGTGGACGATCGCTGCTGAGGAGTCCCACAGTAAAACGAAACGGATGTTCGGTGCTTCCAGGTCTAACGTCAATTGGTTCATGATCTCAATTAACAAAGTTATGTATCATTGTCATTTTCTATTTTATGATGTGATATTGTCTGAAATGTCTCTATATAAACTACGTCTGTTAAAATATAAACATTTTATAGGCTGGTTGCTACTTCTGTACTCGAAGACTAGGGATAAGAAGGGGCAAGCGAATGGGAGACTAATAAAAACCTGACTGCTTGATAAAGATCAATATTGACAGTTAAACATGTTATTGACCAAGTCAGAGACACTGAGCTACTAAATAAACAGCAGACCAAATTAGAATTAAGATTTTGAATGGTAGCTGGGCACGTGATATTGATCAGTGAGGTCACACGACATACTATATATGATACAATGACCTTTTCTTCATAAACTTATGCGAAATAATATTTAGAAAAATTCTAGATGTTTGCAAATTTACAGAGACCAGAATTTAATTTTTTGGTCCTGATTAACTTTCAAGCGGATTTCCCAAAAGTTCTAGCGGAGTATCATAACTGATTAAAGATAAACTCTGTTGAATGTGAAAGCGGCTGCACAAATGACATGAGGTAATCAAGGGAATTCATTAAGAATTATTGTCAATTGAAAAAATGTACTATTGAATTTTGATTAACTAGTGGGGTAAAATACAGATGGAAACCTGTAATCCCGAGAAAACTACAGTTGTTTCATCCTAAGACGAAAATATTTAGAAGTGCCTACTCACAGCCACACCAGTTATTAAACCTAAGACTTTTGAGCATACACCAAGAACACCACCTTTTAAACACTGAATCAAAAATTAATGGTCCACATCTTTGATTTCAACCCATTACCTCTGGAGTGCAATGAACAACTGCTATCATCTCAAATACCTATCTCGCTACAACATAATTGATTCCTATTGGTCACAGCTTTTCACTGGAAGTTAGTGAATACCTTTGAAGTTATTCACTAGTGGGTTTATGATTAAGAGCGGTTTTTCACTTTATATTTCCCCAATGTTTCCCTGATATTTTAATTACTGTTTAACTAGAACTACTCAGTAAATTAAACAGTAAAATGACTAATATTCGCAAAGATTCTATAATAATGATAACAGCAAATGATACAAACAAAAACCTACAATAACTTCTTGAGATGAATTTTCTTTTTTATATTCTAGAACATGTTCATGATTTGATAGTTTTCTCACTTTTCCATTCATCATCATCAATTGATTTGCTTCTAAATTAGATTCCATATCATTCTGTATATTAGGCAATTGCTGTAATCGGTCACATCTGTCGACATTTTGGGATGATGATGAAACATCGACATTGATTTTATTGTGATTGTAATCATTAGCATTTATTTGCGGTAGCATAGATGAATGTTTATCACCAGAGTTACATTTATTTTGATCTATTAATTGATTATTGGATTTTTGTATTTCTTCTTTATTATCATCAATATAGTTATCAATATCATTTGTAGAACACGTGAATGATAAAGTGGGTAAATGACCCACAGTGATATTTTTTCTTGGGATACGATGGCTATAAACATTCTGTAACTCAAGTAATTTTGTTTTCTCCTGTGAAAAGTTTTACAGTTCGAACAAGAATATTAATAGTAAATTCATCACAAATTCATCGTTTCTAGGCAAAGATGAATAATGGCTAACAGTTGAGTCCAGAAAGTACGTTTCGTCCTATTTGGGACTCATCAGCTGGATGTACATGCATCTCGAAGTTGATGCTCACTCTGGAACTCGAACTCAGTACCGTTCGCTTCAAAAGTCATCACGTTATGCACTTAGCTACTCAGTTCTGGTAGTTACCTGCTTGTGCAATGGAGTGAACATCAACACTGAGATGCAGATAGATACAGCTGACGTGTCCCTAATAGGATGAAACGCCAGTCCTGGATTACATTGCTAGCCACTATCCATCTTTGCTTATAAAGATTGTGACTTAAAAGAATATCGAGGCAGTCCGCACAGGATGCACATATGTCAAAAAGACACTGATCAATTGCAGTCCGAGATAAAAATGGGAAGATACAAAAAAAACAAGTGGATTTAATGAGTTTCTAGTATTTTATATTACCCTAGATGCAAAATTTTATTTGACGTAAAAGCCGTCGTCAAATTGTTTGTCATTGGCAAATTACAGTATATAATCCATAAACATACTACTCCGTTTTTATACTACGAGCATCTTGGTCTTGCACATACTAAGGTTTATCATTTATGAAGCGTCAGAGTTTGTACTTCACTTACATAATCACACAAATCTAAAAATCTAAGCCAACTCATTTAGTGTTCTGGCTTTCAGCTTGGGGGATGGATGAAAACGTTGTATAATCAACTGAACGTTAATAAATGTAGTAAATAGTATAAGAGGATTCATATTGAGTAGATATTGGGAAGGAAGATTATAATATCAATAGTGGATCAAACCAAGTACACTTATTTTTCAAAACAGACATAAAATCACTAAAGAATTAAGTCATCAATTAATTATCCATCGAATGCAACTTCTAAATTAGATTGACAAATATTCAGTATTATCAGTTATAACTGTTTCGCTTTTGTTATAATTGTATTCCATCATTCACAACTTTCCATCACGAATGTAGGAATTTTTTGTAAACCCTGTCATTAACAGTCACATGGCTGTTATTTAATTAGTTTGTAGATCATCAGTAAAACCATGTATTGTAAGCTCTTTTGTTCTCAATAAGTACAAACTGTTTTTTCGGGAGTTTTTTATACGTGAAATAGTTGAATATAGCCGAAATGTCCATCTGAAAGCTAAAAGGACTTGTATACTCCAAGGTGAATATTTCTGTATTGCTATATATCTGTAGAACATGATATGTGAAATTAGAAGACATTAATAAGCTGGAGCTTTTCAATCATAAGTGTTTTCGAAACATTGCTGGTATATCGTTGGACGACCACTTGAGTACTGATGAGTTTGATGCAGATTAATAAGTAAAGACAAAATTCAATAGACGCCCCTGAGATGCACAGAACATGTATTACTTATATCCAACCACTATCTAGCTCGGTAAACGATCTGTGCTAATGTAGGATGAGACTATAGTAACGCTGATAGGATAAAAGAAGCAATTTATATCAGCCAATAAATTTATTAGGTGTTCTATTGAATCAATTTGGTAGGTGCAGGCTGTTTAACTATGGTCTGAGTGATGATAGAGGTCAGTAGCTGGAAACTTTAGGTGACATGGCTCAAAATAGGTCTCAACTGCATAGATTTATTAACTTATTATCATGCCTTTGGATCTACAGTTCCAGTATTCCTTCATACACAACTTTTCATTTAGTCTTTATGAATCCCATTCTCGATATTTAGTTTTTTTCACCATCATAATATTATAATTCTTACTCATTCGATATTGATTTTGGTGACTTCATTTTGTTATGTTAGTATGGTATGGTAACTTTGGTTAAAGCACAATTTTTCCCAACTTCTACGCTGTTCAGGTATACTAGTGATAGAAAATTAGTTAAAATAATAAAGGATTCTCACAAACTCTGAAGGTGGTTAGTATGAAAATCATTGTCAGCAGCTCTACTATAGAATATTCCAGATCTCCAAGGAAAGAGACTCTCATCGCAGTTCAAACCTGTTATTACGCATGCCTGAAAAAGACAGAGTTCGGACCTGCAAGGTTTATTGGATTGAACTACAATAAAGGAACTGTCCAGTAAACCGATTCTTCAGTCTGTCTAGAATAAATATCACTGTGAAATATATATTCAAATAATCATAAGATGTCTTTTCAAATAACGTTTTTAATTGTATCACAAATTAATTACTATCTGTTATGAATGAATGAATGGAAATGACAAACTTAAGAAATTATTCTCCGTAATTTGCTATACACCGATCAATGGTATGTATTCATCAAATAACGAATTTATGGTAAATTCATATTATCTCAATTCTAAATTTACATTTAACCCTTTTACTGTTACAATCTGGTTGGTGTTTTTTCATCATCAAAAAGGTACAATTATTTATAAATAGTTGTCTACACAAGATACTCAATATCCGTTGACCTAATATCATCAGCAACAGCCTTCTCTGAGAGAGAACAAACCAGACTGCAATGAAGGAATAAGTCAGAAAGAATCACTGGAAGTGGATAGGATACACATTGAGGAAATCACCAAAATGCACCACGAGGCAAGACCTAACTTGGGATCGTGAAGGGAAAAAAAGGAAGGCCCAAAAACAGACTACGTCGAAAAATGGAAGTAGATATGAAAAGGATGAATAGCAAATGGAAAGAATTGCCCAGGGCAGGGTTGAATTGAGAGTGACGGTGAGTGGCTTATTCTCCTCCACCATTTACTGTAAAACATCTATTTCTGTTGATAACAACCCTTTAATTAATTTTATATCTACATCTGGGACTGTACTTACTATGATTTAGGATGTCATGCAGACCTGTATTGTGTGTATATAGTCACATGAGCTTTAAGCTTAATAATAATATAAGGTAGCGAGATAGCTTTCTATTATTCTGACTAGGAAAGGAAGAATATATGCTTGATAAAATAAGCGTTAATATATACTTTAACTGAACTGAAGAATTAGAATTATCGGGGTAGGCGGAACACATTAGTTACCTGGAGTTGCTGAGTTTTCTCATAAAGTTTAGCTTCTAAATGTCGATATTCTTGTTGTAAACTTCGAAGTTTTTCATTATTCATATTGATTTGTTGTTTGTGACTTTTTGTTAGTAAATCTAATTGATGCTTTAATTGCTACAAAGTAGAAAAGTTTTCTATTAGTGACATTCATTGAAAATGATTGACGCTAAACGACAAGAAAGTTAATCTGAAGTTTTATGAAAACTGTTGTTTCTTGAGGTGTTTAAGTACCTGTTACCCAAAGCCACGTTTGATGAAGATTATCACTGAGATACTCAGGCAGCAGCTGACGTTTTGTAGTTCTGAATGATAGTACCAGCACATAAGTAAGTTTCTAAGTTCTAAGAGTGTAACTAAGAGATTGTATTCAATTGAAAGCCGTGTGACTATAAAGTAATTAACTGTCAGACTTATCATGTAGATAGATGCAGAATGTGTGGTTGGAGTCTGCACGGCCGTCGTAACCAGTGATTGCAGAATGGGATGACAGGAATGAGAATCAATTGAAATGATTCAGGTGGATTCATTCTAGTTTTCTTCATATCCCAAGTTTTATAGTTATCATATATACCATCTGTACCATAAATCAATCCTTTCTTCATGAAAAACATCGTCTATATGTTATGATTTATATTATTATTACTGTTATCATCACTACTATTACTAATACAGCCAATATTAATACTAGTACTACTATGGTGTGCGCTACTGATAACAACACGATGAGACTATAATTTATGGTTGACCTTTGAGCAACACTAAAATGACGCTGAAAATGTGCATCTACTTACTATGGTCGAGTAAGGGTTATAAATTAGTGTAAGGAACTAGGATTGGGATTTACAGTTGAACGTTAGGAATAAGATGTAATGTGTACATCACGAACTGACATAATCTTTAATTACGAAATAGTATTTACCCAAATGAGTAGTTGAATCTCGCGCCAAAATATAATACCTGCTATCTTGAATTTAATTGATTTGTCTATAAATTATAGACTCACCGAGAAAACTATATTGTATTTTAAATTTACTTAGTATTATTTGTTTAAATTTTCCGATCGATGTTTAGGACTGGTCAGTCACTCCATTGCACAAGCAAGTGGCTATCACGACTCAGTAGCTGAGTGGATAACGTGATGGCGTTTAAAGCGAAAGGTACTGGGTTCGAGTCTCAGAGTGAACATCAATTCTGAGATGCAGGCACATGCTGCTAACGAGTCCCGAATAGGACAAAACGCGCGTCCTGTATTCTACTGCTAGCCATTATCCATCTTTGCTCATACATTGTGTTTTGCCTTTTTAAATACTTACCGAATTTTTCTTCTTTTCTTCTTGTAATTCTATAGATATATCATGAGTTTTATTGTTTCGTTTGTGTGATATCACTGAACCTTCATCAGTGTATTGAGATTGATTAGTTTTTTCATCAAATGTTTTCTCTAATAAATAAATCCGCTGTTGTAATTCACTAATTTTTCTTTGATCCGCACTTGATTGTAATGTTTTATCACGTAATCGAATTTGTAATGTACGTATTTCTGAATTTAAACGATCAACAATTTGTGGCATATCAGCTTCTTGTCCTATAGCCTAGTTAATGAATTCATTAAAAAATAATTATTATTCATTATATGAATCAGTGTCATACTGTGGTGTGTGCTACTTATATTGACATAAGTAGTATTTTTCGCTAGTCAGGGATAGAAAATCTGGCAGCAGACGTTCGAGAAGATCGAGGATGAGAGAACGTGAACAGAAAGCGATTGGAATGAAAATGAAGGATTAGTGAAGTCTGAGACGAGTGATCGACGTTTGCAAAGGAACAGTCAAGTTTGGTTGATATCTTGCAAATTAAGTATTTACTGCTTGGTTCTCAGATTTTAATAAGATGTTCTGTAATGATCAGTTCAAATACATTCCATTGTCCCCACTGGTGTTCGTGTTTACTACAATGCAATAACTATAAGCAAAGTAAATCAATGTAACCAACCAGGTCAAGATTCCCACTGAAACCTAATTATCATGACAAGTGGTTAAGGCCAGTTGTTAGCAATCAATTTACTGGTAGTGCAGCAGTTGAAATTAAAATTAAATTACATGACCAATCCTTTTGTTTAACTGAGTGGTTACCTAATAGTTGAATTACTCAAAGACCACTTACTTAACTACGCATTCGAACATTGCTAGAAACGGATAATAAACATTTGTGTGGATTTGCGAAGTTATACCGGATTTTGTGATGTACATATAACATCAAAGAGTGATAGTCTAGTGAACAAGAACATACAAGTAGGGACAAGTGAATTTTAGAGTTATCGCCGGTCCCAAGCCCGTTTAAAGGAAAAGGGTTGGGCATGGAGCCGGCAACTCCATCCCGTAGAAAAAAATCCTACTACGAATACGCCAACCAGATTAAACAGATTTAATGGGGATCATTGTTAGTCCTAACATTAAATAAAGTAACCTTTTAAAAACGGAATATAACTTACTTTATCCAGTCGTACAGCCTGCATTTTATATTGTCTTTGTAAAGTTTTTAATTCTAATTTACAATCTTTCAATTCTTTATTCAATTGAACAATCAAACTGTTTGCATTAGCTAACGCTAGTTGATTTGATTCCCATCTTTCCAGAAATCCTGATGAGAATTTATTGTTGATATTTGGCTTCTTCGATGAAGATGTTGATGATATATGATCAAATCTTGACTGAGATGAAGGTTTTATTGTTGGATTATGCTGTGATAGTTTTGATTTGTAGCTGATATTCTTCAATGCTGTAAATAAAAAAGGATTCATCTATAAGTGTGAAGAAAAGTAGTGATGATTGAAATCCAGAGGTAAAAGTTTTGAGAAATCATATAGGAATGAAAAAGCTATGAACAACTACTTTTTGACAACAGACCAGTTTGTCTATCGAAATCCCACTTTGAATTAAACAAAAATCTCCAAGTCTTCTGTAACTACAATATAATTAAATTACTGAGTAAATATTCAGTTATCCACTATATTAAAGTTATTCACTTTGAAGTGTGACGATGCTGACATTAGATAACCAAAACTTTATTGAGCTATTCGGTTATCCAGATCATAGCAAACCAAATGTAATTAAGAATATGAATTGTTGGGTATTGGTTCACTTGAATTACTATACTGTATTCATCATAAGATCTGAGATTCAGTCAATCAAACAACTCTAAGCCTTCGAAGAATGTACATTAATTCAAATTTACAGTTTTGAAGAAATTGATCAAAATTATGATAGTTTAATTCTAATTTACATCTTTAACTAATGATTTCCTATAAATAGTAGTACATGGTCTAATTTACCAGATTAAGTAAACTAGGGAAATCTGCCAGAATTAAAAGTTACGGACACAGATACAAACTAAATCTAAAACAAGCACTATGTACTACTTTTCTGGTGATTATATAATAATATATTAGTGATTAGCATTTCAACATTCACTTTAAGTAAGAAAGGTAGTGAACTTCAACAACGTCTACATAAAGAGGATAAAATTTACTTACTAGACGTTTTATAGTGTCCTCTTGGAGCCCCCCTTCTTCGGCTACTGCCGGTCTCAAGCCCGGATAAAGCAGGAGGGTTGGGCATGAAATAAGCGCCTTCACAACGTAGAAAACTAACTCGCTAAAAAACGCTAAGCAGAAAAAATAATTCAAACCATTTAAACTCTGCCCTGGGAGTCAGTAAGTCTTCATTTAGAAGAGTTATGACGACTCATGATGAAAGCCATTTTCCTTCGGAAGTCACGAGGCTGATGCCCCTTCTGACAACCAGGAAAACCATTGATTTAGGTACATGGAATGTTCGTGCAATGTGGGAGACCGGGAGGGTTATCCAAGTTGCTGCAGAAATGAAAAGATACAACCTAGAGGTGCTCAAAATCAGTGCAACGCATTGGACGCAGGTTGTACAACAAAGAATAGCTTCAGGAGAGCTGCTGTTATACTCCAGCCATGAAGAAGAAAATTTTCCACACACATAAGAAGTTGCACTGATGCTATCCAAACAAGCACAAAATGCACTTGCAGAATGGGAATCTCGTGAACCGCGGACCATCAAAGCCTACTTCAAAATAAAGAAAGAAGGTATCGCAACGAACGTCATAGAATGCTATGTGCCTACCTACGACTACAATCAAGACCTTAAAGATCAATTCTATGATAGGTTGCAGTCAATAGTTGAGAAATTCTCAGCAAAGGACTTGACTATTCTGGTGGGAGACCTAAAAGCAAAGGTTGAAATGGACAACAATGGATATGAAGAAAGGAGCGTAAATGGTGAGAGAATTGCAAACTTATGTGCCTTCAGTAGACTGCTCATTGGCGGTACGATATTCCCACATAACCGCATACACAAAACCACACGGATTTCGCAAGATCACACTACACAGAAAGATGGAGGAAGTGAGAACCAGTGGAGGAGCTGATATAGCCTCAGATCATCACATGCTGATCACCAAGACGAAACTGAAACTCAAGAAACACTAGAAAACAAGGCGGACAACATTACAAAAGTGTAGTATATCTTTCCCTCAGGATACTGACAGATTCAATAAATTCAAGATAGCCTCCAGCAATAGGTTCAAGGGCTTTCACGAACTACTCAATGGAGAGGGAACTACCGTGAAGAACAAATGAAAACAAATGAAGGAGGCAATCACTTCAACATGTCACGAGGTTGTGGGCCACAAGAAGCACCATCACGATGAATGGATCATTGTTGATACACTGGATAAGATTCAAGAAAGGAGGAACAAGAAGACAGCAGTCAATACCAGCCAAGCAAGAGCAAAAAACTCCAAGGCACAAGCTGAGTACACAGAAGCAAGTGGAGAGGAGCATTGGAGCCGAAAAGCGTAAATATGTGAAAGATCTAGCAATGACGGCGGAAAAGAATGCAAGAGAAGGAAACATGAGACAATTGTATGATACAACAAAGAAGCTCCCTGGAAATTATCTTAAACCAGAACGACCAGTGAGAAGCAAGGAATGCAAAGTAATCACCTACGCTGAAGAACAGACAAACACGTGAGTGAAGCTCTTTAGGATCTTCAAGGCTGGATTCCGAAAGGATCAGTCGTAAACTGACCAAATCACAACACTAAGGATCATTGCAAAAACAATCAGTTGAATGTAACTCACCACCCTGCAGCAACTTCATTGACTACGAGACAGCACTTGTTAACATGGATAGGACAATACTATAGAGGCTTCTTCGACACTACTGCGTACCTAAGAAGATAGTCAACATCATACGGAATTCTAATGAAGGATTTAACTGCAAAATCGTGCATGGAGGACAACTCACAGACATGTTCGAAGACGAGACCGGTGTCAGGCAAGGTTGCTTACTCTCACCCTACCTCTTCCCATGGTGATCGAATGGATCATGAGAACGTCAACATTTGTAGGGAAGCACGGGATACAATGTAGAGTTAGAATGCATCTGGACGATCTAGCCTTCGAAGATGAGCTGTCTTTTCTATCGAACATGCAACAACAAATGAAGGAGACGATCAGTGTAGCGCCAACCTAGGCAGCATTAGGTCTCAACATAAACAAAGGGAAAGCAAGACTCTCCCGTACAACACAACATGCACCAATCAAATCTCACTTGGCGGACAAGCTTTGGAGCATGTAAAAACCTTTACATATTTGGGCAGCATCACTGATGAGCACGGTGGATCTGATAAAGATGTGAATGTGCGGATCGGCAAAGCAGGAGCAGCATATCGGTGGCCTGTGCTCCATTGGGAGTAACAGGCGTGAGTAAGTAATTAAGAGATTTTATAAGCAGAATTAGTTCAGTTTTATTCCTCTCTGATTTTTATGCTATAAACGTTTGGCTTCAAGTACATTATAATCAGAAGAGGTCACGGTATAACCGCCTCTTGACTAAATAATCATGTAGTGCCGATAAGGATGAAGTTGTAAAACATTTGCCTCTATTTATTTACATAAGTGAGCTGTTTCATCGACATTAATAATATTAATTTTTTTCGTTTTAAAATAATTCGGTTACGATAAAAATGCATTAGTTTGAAACCAGATATTAGTTAAATGAAACGAGAACGTCGCACAGTTTTAAACCAGAGAGTGTGAAATTTCTGGAAAAACAAGGGGTAACAGTGAGTAAATACACAAAATGAATCCGCTTCTTGATTTCCATGACTCTATTTATTTCCTGATCCCCCCCATGCAATCCATGACTAAACAACAAAGAAAGAGATGGCTTGATATGCGTGCCACATGTACTAATAACCTCAGATGAAACGTTTTCACGTATTCCTCCACAAGCTTCCCACAATGCAGTAACTATCTTTCACTTGCCTCAGCATATCCAGCCCAGTCTCTCCATTTACACGGATATGTCAATCCGGGGTGAAATACTGTATATTAGAAAATATTTCTATCAACATATATTTTATTCTCTTCAGCAATGAAATAATACAGAGGAATCCAAAGACTTCTTGTTAGTATCTATGTTTTTCAGTAGATTATTTAAAAATCTTTTGAATAAAAAGCTTATTCCAAAACGTAAAATGATGATTACCGAAATGAATTTGAAGTTAGAGTTATTAAAAACATTTCATAAAGCACACACCAATTTTAGCAGTGATCGATCGAATGTTACACATTATACGTAATATGGTTCTCATTTTTTAAAGCATTTGGTAACGGTCAAGTTTTGTTATGCGTGAAATCTAGCAGATAAAGTTACACCTTAACGCATGAACACCCTTTTAATGGACTTATATTTTTTACCGTAACATATGAATCCATTTTCAGCCATGCTTAACTAATACCTTTGTCGTATCAGTGGTATAACTTATGTATATCCGTATGTATATAAAAAGACTTCTTTTACCATGATGCGCGTAAATTAAGGATTTTAAATTGGTCTGAACTTCTTATAGTGCCTCAAAAAAGTTTATGAAAACTAGTCACTCTCATGCTGTGATAAATCCCTAATATAAATCGTCCTGTAGGTTGTTGACATTTGACACTGACTTTATTAATTTCACTAGACAAAGCTCTCTTCTGGTCACTTGGTCACGCATCTGCACCAGACCACCAGTGAGTACCTGTGCTACGCATAACATGGAATTATATAGTTCCCTGGCCAATATTGGCCAGCTTGGACCAAAACCTTCTTAATGCGTTGACAACTTTGCCATATACATGTTTTAACGGATTCATTTTCTACTAGGTCGGTATCTTTTGATGATAAACATGTTACTACCAGAAGCATTGTCAAACATTGAGCATCTTTGGCATCTCTACTCACTACATGTCTAAAAAAAATTATATCGTACATTTGACAAGAATCAAGAACAAGTGAAAATTATGAGCTCATAGAAGAAAACCGTATAATATCTCCAAATCAGCAGCTAGAACGATAAAAATATCATCTACGTACATGATTTAGTGCTTGGATTATATCCTTTGTTTTGTTTAGATTTCTGCTTCGGAGCTTTAGAACTCTTAAGATCTTTGTCTTCGGAATATGAGAAATCTGAGTCTGTTTCATAGGCCTCACTACAATCTGCTGTGACTTGATAATTCGGCAATAAGTTACACATCTGGATGTAATGTTATCTGAAGTATATAACATTTAAAATCATTTTAACGGCTGACCTTCTTGATACTTAACAATGTAGTCTCCAGTTAAATGAACTTTTCTTCTGATTATATTTAGTAGCTATATCATCTTAGGACAACGACCTTATGTAACATTGGGTTTCTACGCAATTCTAAAACGCGCTTTATGTGTAACTACTTTTCACCTTGAAGACGACGGATTCAGTCTTCAGTCTTCAGTAATAAGGATAGTAGGTTGATGAACCTGTGTTAATCCTGACAGATTTCCTTCCAGTGAAGGTTCAGCTTTTTTTTGAAAATGTTCACTGATGGTGCTGATACCACTTGTTCTGGTAAAGCGTTCCAGTCATTGACCACTCGATGAGAAAAACGGGACCCCACCTTTAGTTTATTAGATCGCGGTTTCAGAACCTTCTTGCTATGACCCCGGAGATTATTAGTGCTGGAGGGAGCAAAAAGGTAAGACATATTAACACCCAGATCATAATTAAAGATACGAAATGCCAGTATAAGGTCACCTCGCGTCCTACGATAAGATAAGGGGAAAAGATTTAGACATTTTAAACGCTCATCGTAAGGGAGTTTGGAAAGACCCTCTACTAATTTTGTCCCTACACGCTGGACACGCTCAAGCGATTTAGTATCCTTTATCAGACAATGGCTAGCTGCTTGGATACAGTATTCTAAGTGTGGCCTTACATAGGTGGGATATAAAATTCGAAACATATCCTCGTGAAAGCATTTAACTAATTCGTCTAAATCTGCTTGTAGATAACAACGATCAGTCTCATTTCTTATTGTTCTCCAGATTTTAACATCATCCGCAAACAATAACGTCGACGACTTAAGTAATAAAGGTAGTTCATTAATATACAGAAGGAAAAGTAAAGGGCCCAAGATGGTGCCTTGGGGTACACCACTTCTGACCGGTTTCCATTCGGATAGAGTTCCATTGACTCTCACTCTCTGTCTGCGGTCACATAAGAAGCTTCCTATCCATTCCTGTATAGCACCTGTTATACCAAAGCTCGAGAGCTTTTGCATAAGACCTAAGTGTGAAACCTTATCAAACGCTTTGCTAAAATCTATAAATATCACGTGGACAGACTGGCCGTTGTCTAGGGCACCTGTCCAATCCTCTCTCGCAATGAGTAAGTTAGTCAAGCATGAATGCTTGTTACGAAACCCATGTTGCTCGAGAGTTAACAGATTGTACGAATCTATGTGGCTCAGTAGCTTAGCCCGAATTAATTTTTCAAGTAACTTAACTACTATACTGGTCAGGCTAACAGGCCGGTAGTTAGATACTATCCGTCTCTGACCATCCTTAAATATAGGACTAATTATGGCGTCTTTCCTGTCTCTAGGCAGTTGAGCCTGTGAAAGGGACATGTTGAAGAGCATCGTGAGCGGTCTTGAGATAATGTCCGCAAGCGACGACAGCAAACGTGGGTGTAACCCATCGGGGCCCGGTATCTTACAAGGTTTTAGATTAGTTATCAAAGGAAGAACTATATCCTCTGTCACGTGTAAAGGTCCTATGGCTGGTATCTCATTGTCAACGGGACAAGTAGTTGTAACACTACATGTGGAGTAGACTTCACTGAAATAGTTAGCAAATAACTCCGCTTTCGCTAGATCAGATTCAGCCAATAAAGCTGAATTTTCGCTTGACAGTAATGAGAGGATACCATCACTACGTTTCGTCCGCTTTTAACGTACGAAAACAGTCGATTCGGACAGGTACGGCTATCGTATGCCAACTGTCGTTCGTAAGCCGTGCGGGATTTAGCTATGGTCTTTTTACATATATTCCGGATTTTTTTATATTCGCACTTAAATGATGCCTGACCTGTTGACAAGAATAAGTCCCAGAAGTGTTTCCTACGCTTCAACAGCTTCCGGGTTTCCTTATTAATCCATGGAGGGCAATATGATAACTTACGTGCTGACCATGGGATAAACGGTTGAGTTACGGATTCGAACGTAGACTTAAACCTATTCCATGCATCATCAATCGATCCATCAGCATCGACCGACCAGTCAATTGAGATAGCATAGTCCCTGATTGCCGGAATATTAGCTCTCCAGATATTAGGACGGGGTGGAGCTGATGGAAATTCTATACCATGTATCCGGAACTTAAAGGAAAGTACGACATGGTCACTATTCACCAGTGGGGGAAGATGTTGAATGTCAACGATATCTTCACAGTGGTGTGTGAGGACAAGGTCTATCAATGACGGATTATGTTCCAAGTCTATATGCGTCGGCTTAACGATACATTGTACAAGTGCACATTGAATAATTGATGACAGAAGGACGCTATCGAAACCCCCACCTGGAGCTGTGAGCTCTATCCAGTTTATATGGGGTACATTGAAGTCTCTAACGATGAGACAACATTCTGCTTTACTCCAAGAAGAGACGTGCTTTAGGATAAAGTCGTCAGCGAGACAACACGGACTACGATATATTCCTCCTATCGTCACTAACCCGTTTCTAGACCTAATTGTACAACATACTACCTCACACGTACCACTTACATGCGCCTCCGATATGATCGAGTTAATGCGGAAGTGGTCCCTAATATATAATATTATGCTTCCTCCCTTGCGACTTCTAACTCTATCACTTCTGACACAGATGTAGCCTGAAATGACTGGAGAACAGTCTATATCTACAGTGAGCCAAGTTTCGGTGATAACAATTATATCCGGATTTAAGTCGTCTGCCATCAAACTTAGTTCAGATATCTTATTCCGAAGACTACGAGCATTCGTATAACACACATTTAAGGTGTTTTTGGAGACATGCGTTCTACCCACACATGTCTCGGAAGCATTGGCTTCCAAGACCTGACTACCCGAAAACCCTTAATCGTAAGGTTCGCTTCACCGTTTAGCCTTCGAGTTTTTAACTCTGTTAGGGCATTCTTCCACTTGATCCGATCCTCAAGTGGCCAGTCAGCTCGAATACGAATGTTTGAGTCACGAGTTTTGCGTGAGTTATTTAGTAATACGTCCCTTTCCTCAAAATTACCGAGTACTAATTTGAGGATCCTTCTCTGTTGGGTTTTGCCTCCAACATACTTACCAAGTCTGATGACTTTCGAGATATGTACCCCTGCGACCTCCTCTGGCAGTATATTTCTGATGAGAGATCCGACTAACTGCAGGTCGTGGGCATGTCTCTTAGCGGGATCGGTGTCTTTCGATTCTGCCAAGTTCCAGATGGTTACACTAGTCACCTGTTTAACTGCTTTAAGAGTCGTGTTCACGGCCTTTGACCGTGATGTCAGATCCTGCCGGTTAGCTACCGGCTTCTTGCTATTAGATTTCTTTATTACAGTGTCATGTGGGTCAAGCGAGTTACTCCCAACAACATTTGGTGAAGTTAGACTATTTCCATCCACAACAGTATTAAATATTTCCTTACATAGTAACACAACTGTCTTGAGATCTAACATATCCAATATCTTTGCATGAGACGACTGACTTTTTTGCGTTCAGTCATCGTTCTTTCTGTATGGTTACAGGGTTTTGGTCATATCCTATGTGTTGACTCTGGCTACATAATTGCACAGAATTTAGTCAGTTTGATATTTAATTGTAAGTCATGTGTTCAAATGGTTCAAATGGTTGAGGACGGAATAGAAGAAGCTTTCGCTTAACGGGCTTCCGTGTCTGGTAGCAGTGGATCACCAATACCTCCAGGCAAGAACCTAGGTATATGAACGATAATAGAGGGGAAAAAAAAGAATTTGGTAAATCATAATAATATGTTATCCTTAGTCCTTAAGAATAAGTCAAGTTTTCTCTTAAAGGACTCCTGGGAGGTCGCTTGGACTAGCTCAGTCGACAACGAATTCCAGCACTTGACAACTCTAACGGAGTAGAAGTTGTGTCTTCAGTCTGTTCTGCTATGTAGGGTCTCCAATTTCTGGGTGTTACCTCTGAGGTTAGTGTTATGACTAAGCTTAAGAAGTTGTTTAAGGGGATGACCAGAAGTATTACGGATACTATAAGTCATAAGAAGATCACCTCTAAGACGCCTATACTCTAACGGGTAAAGGTTAAGTGATTTGAGGCGCTCTTCATAAGGTTTGAATTTGAGACCCCGAACTGATTTCGTGGCTCGACGTTGTATACGTTCCAGAGTGACCTTATCTTTTTGGAGGGAGGGAGGAAGTACTATGTTTCCGTACTCTAAGTGGGGACGAATAAAACTGTTGAAGATTATATGGAAGATTCCACCGTCAAACTGGCCAAAAATGCGCTTCAATGTTACCAGTGCAAGGTTTGCTTGAGAGGCGTTTTTGTCACAGTTCGCATACGATTTCAGGTCGTAGGGTACCAACACTCCTAAATCTTTTTCAACTTGGGAAACTTCTAGAGGTGAGTTACCTAAGTTATAACTATAGTTTGCAACATGTCTCAGATGGACTACCTTGCACTTTGAAGTGTTGAAGGTAAGTCCGTTGTCGTCTGCCCAACTTTGAAGTCGAGTCAGATCCTTCTGAAGAACTAGTATATCATTATGATTACGTATCTCTCTCCAAAGTTTCACATCATCAGCAAAAAGCAATAAATCAGATGAAACTTGTTGAGGAAGATCGTTAATATAAATCAAGAAGAGAAGAGGTCCTAGTATTGAACCCTGGGGACCCCACTAGGACATTCCATAGCCCGAGAGAGAATGAAGTTAACCCTGACCTTAAAGTGTCGGTTTTCTAAATATGAAGAGAGCCAATCAATTAAAGGGGGTCTTATACCCAATCGTCCAAGCTTCTTGATAAGACATTCATGGTTGACCCTATCAAAAGCTTTTGAGAAGTCCAGGTAGATGACGTCAACCTTCCACTTGTGATCAAGGATGGTTGTCCATCTATCCACCGCAGTCAGCAGGTTGGTCATACAAAAATGACCTTTTCTGAAATCATGCTGTTGAGGCGAGAACTTTGAGGATGATAAGTGTTCTAGTATGCCGTCGAATAATAGGGATTCCATAATTTTTGAAGGTATGGAGAGAAGGGACACTGGTCGGTAGCTTGAGTGCTCACTGCGTCGACCTCCTTTGAAAATTGGTGTGATGTTTGGTTGAGCCTATGATGAATGAATCGCGTATACTAATGGAGATGGGTGTGATTGGTTTAAATGTGATCTTAAGTGTTTATGTTGTATGTTCCGTTATTTGATTCAGTGTGCAGCGAGCATACCTACCAGAGCCCC